GACTGTGACCTCCACTAGAACAAAAAATATCTACATTTCTTTTTCTTGTCTGCAACAAATACATTCACTGACAAATAACCCTTCTTCACAAAGATCAATTGAATCGATGAATGAATCATRAATTGCCCACTTTGTTCCACTTTGCTCTATTGAAAAATGTTTGAGCTGATTGCCTGCCAATGTGTTTTGTTGTCCCAGCAGACAAACTGCTGTGAGCATAATCTGTTATTTGCATCAGTTCCATTACCAATTTCATAACTGTCTCTTGTGGTGCAGAGGAGGACTCATCCCACCTGGTTTATATAAACTCCAGTAATCGTATTATCTGCCAGGAGGATAATGAGGCATTCTGCAAAAGAGCAGTTAGATCTTCCTACAAGTGTTTGCACTGCGCTGAGTTCTACACAATATCTGTGCGAATGTGACTGGCATTTAATTTTGGCCAATGTGGGCTCACCACACAGCCAACAGAGTCCACCAAGAAGATTTGTCACTGCAGTTTCTTATGGGGGAAAAAAAAAAAAAAACCACTTCCATTTGGGCTGTTTCTATCAGATCAAGGAGGGGGAAACATCTTACAGAATTGCTGAAAAGTCTGAACTCTGTTGCCTGTTACACACAGTCTAACATCTAACCTTGCTGCTAGKGTACAATCTGTAAAACATGGAAAAGGCTGAGTTTTCAGGGCAGTGCCTGAGGCTGTGTGCTAAGGAAACTCTGTCCTGATTCAGATTGTGTCTCAGCACCTCAAATTCAGAAACAGCTTTTTTGGTTACAGTTAAAACTGTATGTTCTGTTCTGACTTTTCATCTGAAGGGCATGAAGAATGGTGTGAACTTCTGGATTCCACAATRAGTCAAGGGTCCATGCAGAGTTGTAGGACATGCTTTGTTTCYTACAGAATGTAGCTGCTACAGGGGATGCATTGAAAGCACCTTAGTGGCACAGACAATTTAAGAATAAATTGTACTGTACTGGRAGTGGCTTTGGCCATCTCCATAGAAGCTGCATAAAGAAGGAAGGAAAGAGGCAGGGATAGGGAGATGAACTCCCTTACAAGAGGCACTTGGCTAAAACATTGCAAAGGATGAGTCAAAAATAGCTCTCACTCATTTGGCTGCCACCCAAGTGGGAAAAGTAAGTTGTTTAATTTTTGCAAGAATGATGATCCAAAAGAGCCGTAACAGCAAGTCTTGATGGATTTCTTCTCTTCCTAAGAAGTTGTGACATAGTTCTACTAATCCAGACAAGCTATTCTGAAAATGTGGCAAACTGTTAGACATCCTACAGCCTTCACAGAYGAGAACACACTAGGACTTGCTTCCTTCCACTAGTGCTTAGATCAGATAGACTGTTTTTCTCCCAAGATACGCATGTACAYTCAGAGCTCAGTGTAACATGTGAATTTCTGAAGGACAACATCAGTCTTCTCAGAKACTGAATCAGGGAGTTCAAGCAGTAATTCCTGTCAGCAGAGAAGGGAGATTTTTAGGAACTAGCTTTCCTTTGCTTTGTAGAGAGTATGCAATCTCAAGCCAGTTGCTGACTCAACAGTAACAGGCTGTGAGAAACTGCAAATGAAGCAGCTTCAATTGCTTGAGGAGAAGTCCTTGACTATCTATGAATGATAAAAATTGAACTTCACATGACAATGGCAATTCAGAATAAATCACTCAGTAAACTGATTAGATTGTATATGAGATTTTAATGGGTAGGCAGTAACTGAAGATTCCAAAATACAAACTTTAGTATTAATCTCCTTTTCAAAACATATAGGTTCAAAGATTTTGAATATTTTTAATAAGGTATTCACAAAACAACACTGTCTTCTTTTTTTTTGTTTGTTTGTTTGGGTTTTTTTTTGGTTTTTTTTTGTTTTTTTTGTTTTTTTTGTTTGTGGCTCCTAGGCAGCCCTTTGCTGCGTAAAGACAGTTACACTATGCTTCCCTATCACGAACTTTTGTACATGGTTTTCTTTTTCATTGTATCTCTTCTGAGATGTTAGCACTCCAGACATGGAAAATGAACTTGAGCAGAGCTGCCYTTGGTAGTTCCTGTCCATGCATGATTATGGATGTGTGCTTTGTTATCAGTAAGGACTAGCAGTGCACTTTGGTAATACAAAAGAGGTCATGACCCAGAGATAGTCACAACAAATGCTAATAATGTGCATGGACTCCKTGAACCACAGGAGATTCAACTTTTTCCATGATGCAGGGTCCTGTGTGCCTTTTTATGAGAATACTGAGGGTATACGTGAGGTAGGAGTAAAAACTCTCAGATATATACTGGAATTAAGGTGCTTGATACCAGTACTGGCTACTGATCATTTTCCTAGGGTGTTACAGGAGTGGCAGCAATACTTAAAGTTGTAGTACCACAAAAAGTCAGAACATCATGTATTGGCACTTTCAATGAGTTTCAAATATTAGTGCTTATTGTTTTTGAGCAGCATGGATTTTGTCCTTCAAATTTATGGAGATACTTTGTGAAGGAAGGAAGAGGGAATACAGACTCCTTTTTTTAAGAGAGAATTTGTGAAAAGTCCTGCCTCCAAATCTGTCAGAGATAAAGGAGGCAGTTTCTTGGCACTGTCATAYTTGGAGAGAGGCTACACCAAAAAGCTTTGAAACTGCTTGTACTTGAAGTGACATTCTTAACCTTCCAGGAATGGCAGAGTAAGATAGGTACACTGAAAGCTCTTGTGGTGCCAGGCAGACAGCAGTCAGATCTGTGTAGTCAAAGAAAAATAAATATTGCCCTCACATTTTCTGGGGACACGAAGAACTCTTGATTCTGTAGGTATGTCATTATTGGCAAAGATACCTTGTGATGCTTCCCTTTGGTGATGTGAAACTTTTATGGACTTCTTAGTCATCTGTGTTAAGCCTGAGGGTCATCAGTGGTACATCAGCAAATTTAAGAGCTGATTGCTTCTGAGCAAAGCCTAAGAAGTATCACACTTTTTGAGGCTTCGTGCAGAAACTCAGAGAGTTCTAGAGGAGAGAAAGATGTCTGAATGCCTGACTTGACACTATTAACTGTCAGAGTCTACTAATGTAGACAAACTATTTTGTGTTTCACTAGTATTATCCAAATTTAGTGGTTCCTGTCTCCGATATCTGATACTTCAAGAATCCCAGAACACTGGGAAGGCATGTAATGATACCTCTTCAGACTCTCTTCAGTAACTTCAAACCTAGGATATCTTGGAAAGTTTAGGTGGGAATTTTTTTTTTTTTTTTTTTTTTTTTTTTTTTTTTTTAATATAACAGCCCTGATTGGTTTTCTTCCATGAATTTGCTTAGTTGTTTTTTGGCTTAAGTACAATTTTAGAGGCTACAAGAATCTCTGAAAATCTCCAACATATTCTATGCATCTTGTCTTAATCTTACCACGTGGTGAGATCTCTGGCCTATGATCCACCAGATGAAGGGTGGCTATGCCCCTTCAGACTCAAGTTTTTAGTTCCATAACTGAACAGAAACTGTATAACAAATTTCCCATATTTATAACAGCTGCTGAGAGGCCTCAAAATCAGACCTTTTTTCATCAGCATGAAATTTATTTGTATAAATGGGACAAACAAAACAGTGCAATTTTAAGCTTCTTTTCTTACAAAAGAAGGCTGTATTTTTGCACTGTGCATCAATAACCCAACTCTCCTTAGCAATTTTTATCCTTGTTAGCCTACATTAACTCCTTTGTCTGAGCTGAAACATTCTCAAAGCTGATTAAATATTTACACCATAAATCAACATTTTGGTAAAGTCCAAAGTTAATAACTCCTTTAAAGAAAAATTACCAGTATAAACTCAACATGGATKTAGCCTGTCTGGCTTGCCATTAGTCCCTCAGCACCCTGATGGGCCAGTGTTCCTGCCAATCAGCCCTTCAGAGCAGTTTTAAGGCAGTGACAGTGTTTCGTGATGTGGCTCAACTATGARTAAGAGAACTGGGGAGGAACAAAATGTACTGTGGAAGTTCTTGTCAGGAARCACTGCTGATGGAGAAGCAAAGAACTACAGACTGTTCCAATGCAGCTCAGGGAGCACATGAAAAACAACTGAGATTAGTGCTAGGGAATAGAGGAGGTGAAAATGTAAAGAATATGACAGAGATCCATGGTAAGAAAGGGTCCATTAGTTTTGTTTCTAATGAAATAACTTCCCTCCTATCGAGTATAACTTTTTGACTAGAAACTAAATATTTCCAAACTACAAAATGTTCACAAAAATCATTCAGAAAGTATTTAATAGAAATTTAATAATTTCTCACTCAATTTATAAATTTAATCTGACTGAAATATTTTAGTTTATTTTCTCGGATCCTGAATGAAAGAGAAAATCTGTCTATGCACAAATACACTTCCCAGGCCATGAGGTAAGAGTTACTTCTATGTGTAAGAGATGCTTTTTATGTGAATGTTACACAGTAAAAACAAATTATATATGTTTTAATGGGTTAAAAAATGGTAAAGCAGATGACTGGCCAAGTTTAAACTTATTAATTTTTCTTAAAATTTTTTTTTTACATAATATTGTCTGTGAATTTCATGATTACTCAGTTGATCAAAAAAGCTGACTTTGAGGAAAAAAAGTATAAATTTGTTCCTATATATTTTTTTTTTTAATTTCATGGTTCTTTGTATTTTACAAACTTGGGCATTCCTGTCAACCTTCTCATAGGCCTAAAACATGGGAAGGGAGCTCCATAACAGAGAAGAACTAAACTGAGAGGAGGCCGTGCAACCAATATCAGACATACTCACACCAGGCTTGGGATTATTATCTGTACAATTTGAGGTTACCATCTTTCTTTGCATAAAGACAAACAAAAACAAACAACAACAAACATTTAAAAAACAAACAAAAACCCATACACATTAAATTNAACAACCAAAAAACCACAAAAAAAGCAAAACCAGAACCAAGGACAATTATTTTTGTTAGTGCAGATTTTAAAACTGGACAGAATACTGAAAATATTTGACTGGTTACCAGTGCAGTTCTTCTGGAAGTTGGGATTCTCCAGTGGGTGCCCTGGAATACGGCACTGAAACCTGTGCTGCCAGAACTCAGGAAACCAGGGGTTGCGGGTGTTGGTGTCCAGACGCAGTTTCAGGTAGTAGTCATCAAACGCCAGGACCTCTGGAGACTGCAGTTTGATAGTAATGCCTCCATTTGCCTCAGGTTCATAACCTTCAATGACTTCATCTCTGTCTGCCCAACCATCACTGAAAAGAGGCAAAAAAACCACTTATTACACAAAGACAGAAAGCTTGTTTTGTAAAAGCAACCAGCCAAAGGCAGGCCAGCACCCTTGGAAGCCAGTGATTAAGAGGAATCCAAAGATGTAAAATTCAGGCAGAGAAAGCAGAGTGATAGTGACTTGTAATGAGCAGTCTGATTTCGTGCAGAGTCCTCATTAACTCATCTGGAATAATGAGGATTTTTCTTTGTCCTTCTGGAAAGGTTATTGGGCACAGCTTGTGCTGTGATGTCTCTGCGACTGGAGATATTCTGCCTAATTTCTGCTCTCCTTTAAAGGGTGGAAACTGAGAAAATTAATGTTGATGTAAAGGAAAACAAGCCAGGATCCTGGATGTTTTTCAAAATAGACCTCAGCGAGCATGGATCATACAGCTAGAAGAGCAATTCTAGTCAAACATGAAGTGAGAAATGCATTCTTTTGGAAAAGAATGGAGTAAGACTACTCCACCAAACTAAAAAGAAAACCAYGTTATTCTCACACTGCATGGGATTTGTGATGACATGCTTTTTTYCCCCTCCTCCTCCTTCTTCTAYCTTTTTCTTTTTATTTAATTAACAAACAAYGGCTTTCTACTTTACTTCTCTGTTTGTTCATATATAATTTTTRAAACCTGAAGATAAAACTGTTGCTTGACAACATTATTTCATGCAAAGTCTGTCTTAATAAGTTTGAACAATGTCCATTGGGCTTAGTGTCTGAGCTTTAGTTTTTTAGTTATTTTTTCCCTTCTTTAGGAGTCCATTGATTTAGTGCCATTCTTCAGTGTTATTAAGGTCCCCTAAGAACAATACTTTCATAGTCTAATTTAAGTGCAAATATAAGTCGGCCATTGCTTAATCTTAAAATACTGAGCACGTAATGAGAGTAATAGATTATTCTGGCATCTCTAGGTCTATTGCACTCAGAATCAAACCAGCTGCACTGCTTCTGTGAGYAGCAGACAGATGAAGCACTTCCAGCAGGAAAGAACTCAAGAGGAAAAATGCAACTGACCACTGAGAGAAGTCTCAGATTCACCCTAAAGAGGGCTGTATCCTGAATTCTAGACAGACTGAAATAAGGTCCTTGTTAGAAGCCTGTTACACACAGCCTTGAGAAGAGTGCTGTGGTGCAGATCATTACCAGCTGAGGGCATTTACKAGACACTCAGCATAGGTGTGCCTGGGACTCCACAAACAAAAACAGACATGATTTGAAGCAGCAAGATCTGTCACAGTCCTAGCTAYAAAGTGACTATGCATTGGACATGTGTGAGCCTTTGGTCATCATCCACCAGACTAAACAAGTGCATGCTTTAGCTGGCATTCACATTAACTGCTGCATCTGTTCTCTAAGCCCCTGGAAAGAAATTGGCAGCTCTCCATGAAAATACAGCAAAGTCCATGTACTAAATTCTTGACACATAAGAAACATGATGCAAACCCCTATTATGGAAGTTATTTACGACAYGGGACATCTGGCAGTGCAGAGTAATCAACACATTCCTTTCAACCTAGTCTTGGGAACTCACAAAGCTGTACTTTCAGATGGCACTACAATCCTTTGAGACAGGATTTCTTCTTTGTTTCCCCCTTTGCCAAGGCCTTGCAGTGGTACTGCCCAAAATTTTGGGCTTACAAACTGTTGGACCAATATCTTCATACAGCTTGATATAATGTGTGTGTATGTTGCATTTCACATGYAGTATAAGAGAGAAGAGCTGGGGGAGATGCAGGGTGTAGGTCACAGGAGAGAGACACTGATTTCTGAGAGCATCTCAATGGGACAATCTCCTGTCAAGCTGAACCTGGCAGCAGCTGCTGGGTCACTTCTTCCCACACCTGAGATGCAGGTTACTCAGTTTCTCATAGCAAAATAGCCCAAATGATACTCACCTGGCTCAGCCTTGACCTAACAGCTGCACTTGAATTGCCACAAGGATGCACAGAGTGCACAATTTGTCCATCTCTGCTCCCTGCCCCACTCTGCTGCCTGAAATTCTGGGGAGGGATAAGAACGCACAGATCAACCTCTCTGCATCCCACCTCTCTTAACTTGCCCATATGCTGAGGACAAATAATTAAATGTACCATGTACCCCTGACTACTTCATGACAGACCATGGTCTAGACAATCCTGGTCTAGATAACCCTACAAAGGTAAAACCATGACAACTAACTTTCTGGATTTCACATAATTCATGATGGAAATTAGTACCAGAGAGGAGAAAAAGACACAATATTTATTTTGTGTTATGTGGGGRAAAAGTAAGCAAGAGATCACTCTTACAGCATGAGTAATTGAGTCCTAATTGCTTAATTACCTCATTAATTGTCACAATGTTTTTGGCTTTCAAACTGTAAACTCAAGCAGAAACATTAGCRAGTCAAAAAGACTAAGTAAATCGAGCCATTTTTACAAGACCTTATTGAAATGAGGTAGTTTCACTACTGCTTGGATTCTTACCATTCAAAAAATAGTTATTTTTCCTAGCCCCTCCTCTCAATATGTTTAGCTTAGAAAATTGCCACATACACTTGAAGGTAAAACAGAGCAAACCTGCAAAAATAGGAGAAAGTGCAGTTTGAGTTCTTTGAAGGCAGCTCACTGAAAAGTTACTCTAAATTGGAAAATAGATTGTCACTTAATGTTTCTTTGCCTCTTTCTGGCCCCAGATGTTTTTTATTCTCTCTTTAACTTCCTCAAATYGTTAAATCCATCTGATTAGTTTTATCTTCAGCAAAACGTGAAGAAAAAGCACTAGAATCAGAGAAAAAAAAATCATATGCATTAAAGCTCATGTGGGAGCTTTGCTCTACTTTTAGTAAAGCCAAGGAAGCAAAGAGGAGTCCTCTGGTCTCTTAGGGGATCCCTGCCTTYCTAGTGGCTGCAGCTGACTGAGCTGAAATGCACCCTAGGGGGATGTGCAGCCTTATCAGCAGCTGTGGAAGGATTATTAGAGATGTAAGGTCCTGTTACAGTATCATTCTGTATTCCTTTTTGGTGTTTATATAAATGTTTAAAAACAGAATGTGTGGAAGCACTACACCCTTCGTGTCATACAAATAAATGGACAGTGATCCAGAAAACAGTGGGGGAAAAAATGACGTTTTTATTGCTGGGCAACAGCACAATACTGATGTCCAGATGACAGTGTGAATGTCAGTGACAGAATCGCAAGACCAATASCTGAGTCAACACAAAAATGAAATTTCATTTTAAAAAGGAAGCACATACTATTCTTTTGCTGTCAGAACAAGTACATTCCACCTACTATCCTTATTTCATCCTGCTGAATAGCAAGTAGCACTACACAGAGAAATTACTGCTAGCCCATCTTTCTGTGTGCCTTTACTGAAGATTTCAGAAGATGGCCCAATATCCATTACCCAAACTGCCTTTCCTGGTAAGTGTCCATGTGTGTGACAATCTAGCCTCGAAATGTGCCAGGTATCTTGYGCAACTGTTATCTGAGGCTCTGTGAGGGAGTTTAAAGTGTGATGACAGAAATAGTGAGGGAGGGAAAAGAATGTGGGTGTCAAACTAGCAACCACTCTTTTTGCTCTTAGGAGAAAAAGAACTGCTTTTGTTATGATTTTGTGGTGCTTATCASAGCCAAAACGGTCATTGATACTCTCAAGCTGCTCTTGGTCCAAGTCCCAGTCTGGTGCTTGACTTYCATGATGCCAAATCCAAATTTCAACATTCAATCACAAACAAAAATCACACAAAAAGAGAAAAAGCCCAAAACAATCCCAGAGCCTCAGAAGTCCCATTTCTCATTATCACAGATGGAGTTTAAAGAAACGAAGCTATATTTTTTTAAATCAGTTTACTGTTCTGTTAATTTGCGATAATGCACATCACTGAATTGTGGCTTAAGCATCCTAGCCTCCCTACCTTTTCTGAACTGCAGTCTGATATATTCTTGTGGCTGAAACACTGGGAGAAATAGAATGGATTTCCAATTTCCTCTTCTCTTCCAAACATGAATACTGTCAGCTGCTTTTCACAAGGGCTGATGAGACAACTAGCAATCAGCCTTGCTATTTTCATCTCTGTGGGGCTTAACTCTTAAATGATGCAGCAGCGTCTCTGCTCTTCTTCTCAGCACAGCACTCAGAGAGTTACTGGTCCGAATGCTTTTTCCAAATGAGTAAACCCCCAAAAGAAAACATGCTATTGCTATTGTTTATGAGGACTGCTTGATCTGTGACTGTTGTGGGACTCAGCACCCTCTCACAGGTAAAGAAAATGAAACGCATTTGTTACTCCTGGGTACTGACTGGCAATTTGACCCCTGCACCCTTGAATGGTTTGATCTGATTGACCAAATCTGTGGAGGGCAATTGATTTAGACTCCTCTGACTGGGGAGTTCCAACTCCCTYTGCATTAACTGAGGTAATGTTTTCCTAAGAAATTTTCATTTGTGATAAGGTTTTTTTTTCTTTGGGTGAGTTATAAAATAAAAGAAATTAAGAGCAAGAAGCCCTTTTTAAATGCTAAATGAATTATTTCTGCAATAATCCTTCTGCCTACGCCAGATATTCTTGTCATTATAAAATCAAATAAATCAATCATGTTAAAATTATTTCCATCTCCTTGGTTTCAAATGTTCAACCCTCACAGAGACTCCCTGCAGATATCCCATTCAAACAGGATAGCAGGGAACTAGGTGACCATAATTGTCACACAAAAGGGTCAGAATCTACATTATTGCCTTGTCTCCTTTCCACAAAACTAAAGCCCATATCAGTGCACATCCCTTGTCATGGTGATATAAATCCCTGCAGAGTCCACTGTTGAATGACTTCTTGCCATGTTCTCAAGGCTGCCAGCTGGCCTGCTGTTGTGTCAAATTTCTAATACATTTAAGTATGAGGACAGCACAGCTCAGAGAATTCACTATTCAATAAATCACCATGACTTTTTCATTTTGTCAGTATGTGCATTTTTAATGACAATTATTATATGCTGGATTAT